TCGGCGCTGCTCCCGCACCTCGCTCAGCCAGTGAGCGGGAACCGGTCTGTATGTGGGATCCGAACCCTCGGGCGGGAGCGCCGCCGCGCTTCCCAAGCGGCGCACTATCCAGTGCACCACCAGGCCGGCCCTAGGATCAGCTGCTTTGAGGCTCAGCGCCCTGGATTTCTTAGAGGTTTGTAAATCACCACATTAAAAACTAATCGTAGCATTTGCCCTGCGCCCGGCTCATCCCTGTTAATGCCTGGTGTTGTTTAATTTCTGGTGGTATCTGTGGAAGCTGCAGAGATGGGCTCAGTGGGACCCTGGGCAAGCCTGAGCCTCAAGGCATGGTGGGTGTTCTGCTCTGGGAGAGCAGGGATCTGACTTCCATGGTGGCTTTGGCTATGCCCTCCTGGCCTGTGTGTAGGGCAGTAACATTCACCCTTGAGTGCACTTCCCAGGAGACTTTGGAGGAGGAGGGAAGAGCATTTGAGGGCACTGCCAACTGCCCAGGGACTGGATGGGACCTGTGGATAGGGACTCAGCCTCCCTCCGTCCCACCGCACCCTGGGAGAAGGAAGAACAGCTATAGGTCTGCAGGGCAGAAGAGGGGAGGTAGCAAGACTCAGAGGACAGCAGCTCACTTTAATCCAGCCCTGACCCCAGAGATGCTTGCTGACCTAGGTGGTCAGCATCTCTGCTCTGCCCCTTGGTCCTCCACTACCTCCAGCCCACCCCCAGGAGCCTGGGTCTCTTCTCCCACTCCTCCATTCTCCACAAGCTCTCACAGCCTCCAAGTCTCCCTCCAGCCTGGTTGCCCACCCTCCTTACTGCCCGGCCAGAGAGGGTTTGCCAAAACCTACAATGGACTGTGCCACTCTCCTACCCACCTTATAGGGCTCCCATTGTCTCAAAAACACAGTTCCTCAGACTGACATGCCAGCTCCCCCACTCTTGAAGGGGTATGACAAAGCACTTTCAAATGGAGGCAATGCACTGGGCCTTTTTGGTTTGAGTTCCCGCTCTACCACTTATCAGCTGTGACCTTCAGCAAGGCACTCAACTTCCCTGCACCTCAGTTTCCTTGTCTGTAAAATGAGGATAATAGTTCCCACATCCTTGTGTTTGTGAGGATTAAATGAGTTAGCTCATGGAAAGCCCTTAGCACAGGCTTAGCACATCGTAACTGCTCAGTAAGATGTAGCCACTATCATCTACTTCAGGATACCGCCCCCCTACCCATGGCTGCCCAATATTTTGACACCTGACAGCCACCCTCAACTGTCT